TCCCCCCCGAGCACGCTTGCTGTATCCTCCATACAGCACAGCGCTCGACAGTGCAGACATGCAATACACATGCAAGGAATAAATGATCGAGCAAATGATGTTCCCATCTGCAAAGTCAGAGAAAGCAAACACAGACTCGAGTCAGGCAGAGCTGCCGTGTTTGCGACCAGGTCTAGTTTCAGAAGGTGCGTCTCGGGGGTCACCTGCGCAGAAGAGGTGGCACAGGCAGGGAGCCGACGGCTCAGCTCCCCCACTTCAGCCTCGCAACCTCTTGCTTATCTCTTTTTTCATTTGAGGGTCAAATGAAAAGTCACTTTAAAATGGTGCACTGCAGAAACTAGATGGTTATAAAAGTGTTTAAGCTTTAGAAGAAATATCTCAGTCCTGCGTCATCCGACTTCACCTCAAAAATTATTCTCCTAAACCAAATGATCCCACATGTTTGCTCCAAGTCAGCAGGCAGCCGGGGAGACAGACCACAGGGCAGGGGGCGAGGACGAGCCTGGGAAAGGCGTCTCGCTCTGGTCTTCGTCCCCCACATGGCCTGTCTCAGCCACGGCGAGTCTTGCCCGGGGTGATAATTACTTGTCGAATTACAATACAAAAATGAGGATAAAAAAAAATCCTGTGCCATCTCTCCCGCACTTTGTCATATTGAAGATACTGCATAATTGATTCTGCAAATGCACCAAGGGAACAGGGAGCTGTAATCAGCCTCTCTGTGGTGTTTATATCTATAGTGACGGAAGCCTAATTGCATAATTCATCATTATGAAATAAACTGTGGAGATCACAGGTATATGTGGTGATCCACGGGACGGTGCTCCTAGCCTTGCGGTGAATAATTGTCAGTGTTTTTCTATTAGGTATTTAAAAGTCTGGGTCAGCCTCTGCTTTGACCATGCACAACTCTGTTCCAAAAGCCACATACAGCGTGTCAAGGGCCAGTGCCACCTGCGATGCCGCTCCGCCTCCAGCCCTGGGAGCCTCACCGGTCACCAGCTCATCAGCTCAGGTGAGCATGTCACAGGGGACGATCCGGAACGCGCCCCTGACCTGAGCTTCAGACTCCCACGGCTTCCCATTTGCACCAAAGCCAAACTGCCCAAGCTCACTACTGCAGCCTCTCCCCTGTGGGCTGACCAGAGCCTGGCCCATCCCAGCTAGCCACGTGGCTCGCCAACCACGGAAAACTCATCATCCTCTTTTTCTCTGGTCCCTGGTTCATTTTTTTGAACCTTCAGGCTTTATAAGCAAAGGAAGGCATCTATGGACACAAACCAAGTTGACATCGGGCAGGCAGTCTTCCCAGAGCATGTCTGTCACTGAAAGCAGGACAGCAGCACTCTGCTTCCGGCCAGTCAGAGCAGGTGTGACGATGTCACGCACGCCCCCTCCCCTGACAGTGGCACTAAACGTGGTCTGGTCTAGAGCTCACACAGCAGCCAGGGCAACTGTGATGCATGCCATGGGCCTGGGGCACCTGTGAAGTCCGTCAGCTGTGACACTGCGGTGTGCCCGGGGTGGCATGTTGATAACCGGGGAGCCGTGCGCGTGTGGCAGATGGGGCCACGTGGGGAGTCACCGTGTCTCTAACTTGGCGCAAATCTTAAATCGCTCTAGAAAAATAAAGCCTTATGCAAATGATAAATACACAGACACAACATATCAACAGTCATACGATGCAGCTACAGCAGTGCAGTGAGGAAAACTATTAGTACTCAACGTATACATTAAAAAAGATGAAAACTGTTCAATCATTACAGAGCTCATGCCAGTCACCTAGAAAGAGACAAAATGAGCAGCGGGAAGGAAACGATAACTAGAATGGCAGAAATAGAGAAAATGACTAGAGAAAAACAATTTGATAAAGACTCGGTTCCTGGGAATGAACAGACCCGCATCAAGACTGTGCAGTGAAAGAGCTTCTGGGCCTTGAAAGCGTCAAGGAAACGCCACAGAAGCAAACAGGCCACCCGCAGACCGGGAGAGGGGCTCTGGACGCCACACGCCAGCGAGGGCTCGTTTCTCAAGCACGAGGAACTCACTCAAATCAACAGTGCCAGGCAGACGACCCGGCGAAAAACTGGGCGAGAGCCCCAAACAGACACTGCTCTAGGGCACACGGGGCAGGCCCATGGGTCACGCCGAGTCACCCCCCACCACCGGGCGGGGCCGCCTCGCCCCTGGGAAGGGCCCCCCAGACACAAAGCCGCAGGCATGTGGAAGGACGTGCAGAAAGGACCCTCGGTGGGGTCCCCGCGGACGGGGCTGAGAGTGGCGCTGACTCGTGGAAAATGGCACGGGGAGGCCCTCGCTGGAGGCAGAGGAGGCCCCACAGCCCAGAACGGCCGCTGCGGGGTGCTCTCCCAGAGAACAGGGAGCACTGGTGCGGGAGGACTCAGGCCCCGGGCAAAGGGCAGCACCGACGGCTGCCGAGTCACGGAGGACTGGGTGTCCGGGGCAGAGAACCGGCGGGGAAGCACCCACGGCCGCTGCTCAGCAGGCTGGAGGGACAGAGCAGGGCCTCGGGGGCGGCGTGCGTGGGCCTCGAGGCGACGGTGCTGAGTGAGGGAAGTCAGGGCACGAAAGGCAGAGGCCAGGCGGCTCCTCTTACATGAAATCTGAGTAACCAAAGCAGAGAAGCCGGCAGAGCGGCGCGAAGGTCACCTCAGACTCTGAAAAACACGCCTGTCACCAGGGCCACGGGGGAGGGCAGCCCGGGAGGGCACGGGGGTGGGGTGGGGGGTGAGTGAAGCGTGTGCGTCCGTGGCGGGTGAAGGGTGCCCGGGCTGCGGCAGCACGCAGTGACCCAGTGACCGGCAGGCTCACGGGCTCCTGTTCTCGGGGGGGGGGGGGGGGGCACCCTGCAGCAGCCTTTCCGGGGCCGTGGGGCTGCCTCCGGCGAGGGCCGCCCCCTGCGGTTTCCCATGAGGCAGCACCACTCCCAGCCCCGCCCACGGGGACCCCACCGAGGATCCTTCCCTGCACGTGCCCCCACACAAGCCCACGGCGCCAGGAAGGCGCAGACGGGCCGGGTCATCGGTGAGGACCAGGATGGACGCACAGATGCTCGCGATGCTGATCCAAGTCCAGGGCAGCTCCGGGGCCGGGGCCAAGACGCCAGGGCCGCAGCCGGAAGAGAGGACGGATGGGCTAAGGCCCCGCCGGGCAGAGGAGTCACCGCGGAGCGGTCGCAGACTGAAGCGACAGGCACTTAGACAACAGCGCGAGGACGCACGGCACCGGCTCGGCCGGGGCTGAGAGCGACAGGAACTCGGCCCAGGAAAGGGACCGAGCACCAGACCCTCGTCTCGGGCGTCCGCCGTGAGAGGGAGCCGGGCGAGGCAAGGACACCGCTCTGTGAGTGACCAGTGTCGCAAAACAGAGAAAACACTCGGGAAATGTAACATAAAATATCTAACAATTGAGTCAGAAAATGGGCACCAGGTACAGATTCCACGAAGATAAACGGGCGATAAGCGCGCGGAGAGGGCTTGAATACCATTAGCCTTTAGGGAAATGCTAATTAACGCCGCATGAAATGTCACTACACACATTTTAAAATGGCAAGAAAAGAGTGAACCCACCAGATACGCGTGAGAATCCAGCAAACACTGGTGCCTCGACCCCGTCCTGGGGGAAGGCAGACTCGTGGGGCCACTCGGAGGAAACAGCCTGGCGCCTCATGAAAGAATGAAGCAGGTGGGGCCTCCTGTGGCTTGGGGGCTTAGCTCAGGCTGTCGCTGCTGCAGCCTGAGTTCGATCCCGGCCAGGGAGCTGACCCACAGGGCGCAGCAGACCTCTCCTGTCTCCCCACCGCTCCCCTCAGCAGTGGATTTCAATGGATCTGCCAGTTCTGCTCCCCACTCTGTCTCTGGTGAGTCCTCTCACTCCCTGTACCTCTGGCCTGCACCCCAGCTCTCGAATGCAAAAATAAACTAAAGCAGGTGGGAGATGTGCTCATGGACATGCCTGCACCATCTCAGAGGATGTGCTTGCACAGCCTGGGCCCTGGGGCCCAGCAGCTTCACCTGTAACTGCCTCAAGCTGGAAACAACCAGGCTCCCCTGAGCAGGTGAGTGGTCAGACGATCCCCGGGACAGAGAAGGAAGAGGGGGCTCCTGATTCCTCGGTCTTCGGGGACAAATGTGTGACGGTGCATCCTGGCGAGGGAGATGCGCTACGAGCGACGCCAGGGACTGGATATTCTTCTAATGAACACGCTGCAGACGCGAATAAGGAGGGAGTGAGCGCAAAGGCTGGGGAGGGCTGAGGGCGACCCCACGTGGGAAGGGGCCACAAAGGGCCACATGTGGCCAGATGGCCGGGCGTGGGGTCCCGGCTGCCTCCTGCTGTGCGCCTGCTGATGCTCGGGCCACACCCGGTCACGTGACCTGTGGGCAACAGTGTGGGCAACAGTCTTCCCCGACTATTTCCTAGACCTGTAAATCCACGCTTCTCTCAAGACAGGAAGCCTGGGTGAGAACCCGCAGCCCGGAGCGGGCAGAGGGCTGCTTCCAGAGAAGAGCGGCCTCCCCAGCAGGGCGGCCATGCTGGTCAGCGCAGGAGGGGACATGACTCACCACCAACCTGGACGCCCCCCAGGGGCCTGGCCCCCTGTGGCTCCTGAATCATTTATAGCCTCGGGGTAGAAGCGAGATGGCTGGTGCCGCCTCACCTGCCGCAGCAGAACCGGGGTTTGCCGGGGCTGGAACAGCGACCGTCCAGAGCACCCAGCGGCTGCGCCCGCGCCCACCATGCTCGCTGCGGTTCAGTGCAGAGCCGAGCAGTGGGGAGAAGGGGTTGACCAACCTTTAAGATTTGGTTCCAATTCCACCTCTTATTCAATGCCTGAGTCTCTCAGGATTATTTTGTTTGCAACTGACAGAAAACCCAATCCCAGCTAGCTTAGATTTAAACGGGAAATGGATTGTCTGTGGAGCGGAACCATCCTGGGGAGCCTGGCTTCTGGGCCCAGTGCCCTCTGCCAACCCTGCCTGTGCCCGAGCGCTCAGCCCCGTAGCCCTCGGTGTCCCGCCTAGGGGGCAGCGAGGGCGTTTCCCAAGGGATCCAGGGACTAACATCCTCGGCGTTCACGCCAATGTGGCGTCTGGCGGTCATCCTCAACCCTCCAAAAGGAACCGGCTCTTTTAAAATGGACAAATCTTTAGCCAGATGAACTAACAAGGAAGAACGAGCCCTTCCATAAACAGTGAGAAAGGAAAGTCCGCGGCGGGTACTACAGAAGAGCAAGAGAGAAACATTATGCCCCTAACTGGATAAATTGGGTAAACCAGATACAGACCATCTAGCCAGACTGAGTCACAGAAGCAGGAAATGCGGGAAGGAAGTGAGAGATTAAGTCGGAGATTAAGTCGGTCATCACAGGCTCCCTGCACCAGGTGGTTCTGCTGGTAAATTCTACCAGACATTTAAAAAAGAAAACCAATTTTTATCAAACTGCACCAAAAACCTGAGGGGAGTAAACGTTCCCAAACTCAATCTCCGAGGCCGGCATCTCCTGCTGTCCAAGGTGGCTCCAGCACTAGGGCAGCCCTGCAGGCGGTGCCCGGATGTCCACAGGTGCAAACGTTTTCAACAACATATTAGCGAAGCAAATGCAACGTCCACTAGGAGCTCGCACTAGGAGCTCCTGAGCAAATACACATCCACTAGGAGCTTGCACACCGCGGTCGGTCCTAGGGGCTTGTAGGGTAAGGAAAAATGTCAGGCTTTTCTGCCCTCCCGCCATCAGGATAGATGATGGATCTCTCTGGTCCCGAATGCATGCCTGATGGCGGGCACCTGGAGTAGGTTGTGGGCCTAGGTAGATGGGATTCACCTGGGCTGAGACTGGGCTTTTAAGGGCGGCGTCACGGGGACGCCAGCAGCAGAAGCCGAGAGAGAAGCAAGAGAAACAGAAGCCGAGAGAAGGCCGGAGAGCCCAGAGTGAAGACCTGCTGGGAGGCCTGCCAGCCTACCGGCCCCCCAGTGCCCTTCCTGCCGTGTACCTGGTAATCCCAATAAAAACCTGCAAAACCACGGAGGACCCTGATTCCTCCTTTACCTGGTCTGCTGGATCAGAACCTGCACCGTGTCCATCCCTGACCTTACAGGGCTCATCCGGAAGGCCAGCAGGGATCACCCACAAAACTAGCGCCTAATCCACCAATTAAACAGAACGAGAGACAGAAACCCCGTGATCATTTCACTAGATGCAGAAAAGAAATTCAGGAACATACATCCTTCCACGGCAACAGCAATTCTCAGCAAACTGGATTCCCGAGGAAAGTTCCTCCGCAGAGCCAAGGCCACACACGACACGCACGGCTGGCATCACACTTGGCACGAGGCGAAGCCGTCCCTCTAAGCTCAGCACAAGCTGGGGCGACGTCAGCAGCTCAGTCCTTTCGTACTTAACTCGGGGTTTACGCAGAAGCGATTTCCGAGGCCCGTATTCAGTGAAACCAAACCTTTTCTACAATTTCTTAAAAACAAAGAGACACGCGGGGCCGCTGGGCCCACTGTGCTCAGACTGGGGGTGACAACGCAGGCGGGACTGCGGAGGAAAGCGGCTGTGAGCGATGTTGGGGGTGTAGATCAGCAGACATTAGGGGGGCAGATGCCCGTTCCCCCAGAAATGGATCATTGAGCCTCCACAGGGTGCGCACTGCCCTCACACATCTGGAGCAGCCGCAGTCCCGCCGCCACAGTGGCCACGATGCGGGAACAGCCTCAGCTTCACCAGAGGGTGCTGGCAAGGAAGACGCGGGTGTCACCTGCCCGGTCACCCACGGATGGCCACTGTCCGGAACCTGGTCAGCCTGCTGGGGACTTGAAGCGAGACCTGGCCTGCAGGAAAGAGCAGGGCGCCCTCACCTATGGAATCTGAGGGGAGGAACCTGCATCCTGAGCAGAGTCGCTGGAGGGCAGGGCACAGGTGCAGGCCCAAGCTCACCGCCGGGTGGGCGGGTTCTGGACGCCAGGGCGGGAGGGTGGCGCCGGTGCCGTGAACACACTCCAGCTTTGCTCCAGGCGGCGGCACCTCCAGGGAGCACTGACAGGCGGTGGCAGGCGTCTCACCCCGGGCCACGCCGACCCGGCCGAGCAGCCGCACGTGGACTGAGCAGGGCGGGCTCCATGGGCCAGGGCGGCCTCCAGCCCGGCGTGAAGGCTGGGCCCGCCGAGGCCCACGGGGCTGGCGCGGATGTGGGGGTGCGGCATGGGGCCCCGGTGACCGCTCCCACGCAAAGTTCAGGAGCCCGAACGCGGCCTCCGTTCAGTGGACCTGGCGGGCCGGGGGTGGACCCGGCGGGCGTGCTGGAGTCGCCCCAGTGGCTCCCCAAGTGGACACCCTACCCGGCCGCCCTTCGGCCCCGGGACCTGGCTGCATCCTCCGCGAGCCTGTGCCGACCCCGGCCGGGCACCGCCACCTCCTGCCACGGGGCTGGAGCCGACGCCGGGGTCGCTAGTGTCACCAGGCTCTGGGGGACCCTGCTCCGCGCGCCCCGGGGGGAGGCCGCGTGGAGGAGCCAGGCCGCGCCCACCTGGCTGCGGCCTCACCTGCCCTGGCCGCGCCTGGGGCTGCGGCCTCACCTGCCCTGGCCGCGCCTGGGGCTGCGGCCTCACCTGCCCTGGCCGCGCCTGGGGCTGCGGGCCTTGGGCACGAGCAGGGAGGGGCCGCGGAAGCCCCTGGGCACCTTGCGCGCCCACAGCCGAGCGGCGAGGCAGCGGCACCGACTTCCCGCCTCCGAAGACGGTCTCCTCCTCTGCGGTTATGAAAATGGGCTTCAGGTAGCTCCGCCCAGCAAGGGCGAGGCGCTGGGCGCTTGGTGGAGGCCGGGCGCCCCAGGGCGCAGAGCAGCTCCGCGCGGCCCCCCTCGCCTGGACGCGCACCCCGGCCCCGCGCGAGGCTCTCCCCGCAGACACGGGCGCGCTCGGCGCCCCCCGGGTGGTGGGGAGACCCCGCGGGGGCCGGCCCGTGCTCGGGCGCCAGGTGACCACGGGGCGCCCCACCCCAGCGGGCGCCGGCCCGGGTCTCCCCAAGTCTGCGCGCTCAGGCCCGCGGGGAGCGGATGCGCGAACCCCGCTCTCCATGGAAACGGCCGAGCCGCCCCCGCCCGGCCCGGTCCCCGCGGCCGCCCCTCTCCCGAGGAGCAGATGCGCCTTCGGAAAATGAGGCTTGATGGCGCGTCCGCCTCGGTTTCTCTCCAGATGTGGCCCATTTAGCGGCTCCGTCATAGGATGACAAACAAATGCTTTCCAGGGAGAAATCAAAGGATGACATTTAAGTCTTAATTGCTACTTAGAATAATACCCTTTTTAGTGATTGATTCACATAAATGGGCACCCGCGGTCCTGCAAGTTTAACTTAAAAGAGGTGCTGAGTTAAAGACGCAGCTCACCCCCCAGCACCCCGAAACCAGGACACGTGACCCCGCGGGCGGGTGGTGAAGCCACAGAGGAGGCTGCGTCTGTGGCGCTGCCTGAGTTTCTGCCTCATCCCCTCGCGCCCACCCGGGGGGAACCTATTTCTCACAGTGACGTGGAAACCCTGCAAACAGCTGTCTCCCGCCGCACCCGCAGAACAATGGGATCTTGTATTTGAGAAGCAAGAAATTAGCATATTTTCTTTCTGCCAGCCGGTGGGGCCTGAAATCCTGCCCGCAAAATAGAAATTATTTTATCTGAAGAATGTGCTTCCTGTGAAAAGCCGGGCTCCGCCAGGAGGGCGCCGCGTCCCGCGTCAACCCACTAGCCGGAAACAGCTCGGGGCCTGTGGCCCACGGCCGTCTGGCCGACAGGCTGGCGCAGGGAGGCCGCGGCCGGCAGCAGGGCTGGAGGGAGGTTCCGCCTGCGGCCAGCAGCCCCCACCGGGGACAGTCCAGCCGGCTCGCTGGGCCTGACGTGCTCAGGAGACGCCGTCCGGGCTCACGCTTCCTGGCGCCTTTCCGTGTCTGTGGGGTCAGGCTGCACCAGAGGCTCAGACGGGCTCTCCCCAGCCTGCCAGGGCGGGTCTCCCACAGGTGCCACTTGGTGCGGGAACCAGAGGTCGGGTGGGGGGGGCCTGGGGTCTGCGCCTCACTTGGAGAAGGCGGGTGCCAAGGGCATGGGCGTGAGGCTTGGAGGCCGAGGACTGGCCCTCACCTGCTCCTCGCCCCTTCCCAGCAGAGGACGTGGTCACTGCACCCCCCCACCCCGGCCCTGAGAAGAACGTGGTGCCCTGGGGGTCTCGCCCAGGAGTGGGGCTGTCGGCGAGCTTGCCCTCTCCCTGCGAGAAGCCCACAAGCTCCCGAGAGGACAACAGCCTCCGTCTGTCCCCACCCTGGACGCCGCAGGGCCCCAGGCAGAGTGAATGTCTCTGACCACCCGGCAGTTCTTTAGACCGTACAACGCACGGGTCCCCGCAAGGACGCTCTGCCAGCGGCCCTTCGCCGATGCACCGGCAGCCATTTCAGCCTCTGTCTACCTAGAACCCAGGAGTTCCCTGGTCCCGACACTCCTTAGTCTGTGCCTCCGTCCGCCCCTTTAACATGCACTCGGTGTCGCACTACAGTGAACGCGGGGTGTCCGGGTACGCAGGAGGGACTGAGCCCGAGATGCAGCAGACCCTGCCACGCTGCGAGTGGCCACCAAGTCCTGCTGGGGGGGACGGCCATGGTGAGCCCAGGTGACCAGCGCAAGGCATCATGGAAACCACCTCAGGAGCTCGAGGGGGTCAGGAACACGAGCCCCCCCGCACCCCCGCCGCGCAGTGCTGTGGGCAGAGGCACCAAGATGGCGTCGCGGTGACCCAGCGGCTGGATGCCAACAGCCACGGCGACTGGGACTGCGAGCTGGGACTCAACTGGCCAGTCCAGCACCACGTCCTCTGTGGCCAAGCGCAGGCCACCGAGTCACAGAGTCGGCCAGGCTCGTCCAGCAAGGAAGGAGGCACAGTGGGGCCCTGGCTGGCCTCCGGGGAGGGAGGGCGCCGGCATGGGGACACCTGGGTCGGGGGCACCATGGAGCTGGTGGTGTGAAACCGCCCGTGGGGGACCCCACGCTCCACACACGGAGCCCGGGGGACAGAGAACCAGAGATGGACACGGGAAGGACCGCCTGGATGCGGTGGACTCTGC